TGATAATATAATATTATTGAATAAGGAAAACGATTCTGAGCGAAGATGGTCAGTCGGCCTATATTCTGTAATATTACCAAGTATATTTGACGATATTATTGTGAATAAATTAATTTACGTGGAACATTGTTTTAAACTTTCAATCCTTGGCTATAAAAGTTGAACATTTTATAAATAGAATTTAATATAAATAAATTAAATTAAAAGTATACAAAATAATTATTACATTTTAAATTGTATACTATTTGTCAAAATTCGAACTTTAAATGCTTATAAAAAACGTGTGCCTATGTATTATTAGTATTTCTCAACTACTATTGTAACAATATATCGAGACATTTTTACGCTTTTTTACCCAACAAATAAAACTATATTAATATTTATAGGAAAAAAAACTAAAAAAAAATGAAAACTGACAATGTCCGTAAGCAGCTTAAAAAAGTCAAAATATTTTCAAAACTTTATAGAAAATGAAAATATAAACAATCAGTGAAATTTGCATGTATCTAATTTTACCATAGAATAACGCATTGACCTATTATAAAATAGGTATATATAAAATAAAAATATAAAATATATATAATATGTCAGTGGAATAACGTCATATTCTGTGATACTGCCATAGTAAAATATGGAATTATATGGTTAGTACTTAGTAGTCACCATAGACAATATTATCTATGGTGGTTGTACGATATTTTAGAATCCACGGAATAAGATATACCTTAGTCTGTGTTTAGAATATAGATAGGGTAATAATTTAAATGATAATGTCTAATACATGCACGAAAAATACTATTTGGTACCTGTTTATATATATTATATATATTTCAATGATTTTCTGGTGGTGCAAACATAGCTTTGTAAGTGCCGCATTTGCACCACCCAGTTTACGCCACTGCTGACACTCCAATATTGTACTTTAAGGTCAAAATATTTATTTTGACTTGAAAATTGTTTAGTATAATGTTATTTATTATGTAAACACCAAAAATAAAATTCTAACCACATCGGTAACGCATCTGTAATAATAATTATTATGCCCTGATTGCAGACTGCAGTATATGTTATAACTTATATGCACTTATTTTATATTTATTATATTATTATTATTATTATTACACGGTGCGTTTAAACAAAATCGCATGCGAAATCCTGCAGGATTGGAGATCGAAGGACATATCATTACACTATATTATCGGTCGTTTCTCGTTTTCTCACATCAATTTTTTTGTGGCCATCAAAAACTTATAGTTTGATACCCGAATTGTTTTGAGGTGGAAATCCTGTATAGCGGATATATTATATTTAGTATTTAGTGTTTAGAATTCTGGATTGTGTACCTATTTCTCTTACACTGCTACCCATATAAAATGTTCAGACACTACACATGAATAACAGTGTGGTTGTTTTTACCTTATTTCTTTCATGAGCTTATAAAATATAGTTAAATTATTCACTGTTCTCAAAAATGGGTAAAAAGTAAAAATAAATTCCTTTTAAAATATATATTGTTACTGCAGGTTGTATGTTATACTGTTTACAAGACCTACCTAGATAATATATTCATTTTATCATTTCATAAATGTTAATAAATGTTATTAATATACTTGTATGAGGCAGCTCCCCCGATGTTGTTAAAACGATTTAAATACTTTAAGTGATTTGCTTTATTTCGTACCAATTTATAAATATAATGTAGGGATATGATATTCCTCGTTAGATGTGTTTTTTATACTATATACCTTAAAATTTCAAGAAATATGAGATTAAAATTACAAATGGTCGTATCCAATTAACATCGAAATTAAGTGGTTTTTATTCAAATAATATTATATTATGTTTAAAATGATTACGTTTTGATGTTTTGTATATTAAAATAATTATTAGAGACAATTTTTTACGGTAATTACTTATATTAAATAATATAGAGAGTGTTACGATTCAAGGTTTTATCATTTATTTGCATTTGAAAATTGCGTGTTAAAATCCCGTGTTCGTAACGCTCAACGCATGGCCGCCCGTGTTCACGTTGTTTTTTTATGTGTAGGCATCTAATTTTTTTTACATCTATTTTATTATTATTGTACGGCACATCTCGGCAGTTTCGTGTCAGTATCTGGTGTTTTTACAGATGTTTTATGGTTTTATTTACGTTCAACGAATATCCTAGTATCGTTGACTACTGTCCCCTTTTTCGTTCGCCTCTCGTATATATTGTATAATATACATAATACATCGATATTATACCTACTGCCGGCCGAGTACTAGGTACACTACTACACTGTATACACCACACACCACACTCACTCATATAATAATACTATATATTTATTGCGACGTACGACGTACGCAGATTTCCAACAAATTCGATGGTAGATTAAATAACGCATGTTGGAAACCATACGAACTATAATAATAATAATATTATATTGTCGAGTTATCGTTTACCGCGAGCGTATAGCCCAATACGATTTATTACAGACCGTGTCAATAACGTTTTCGTGGAACGTATTATATATTGTATATAACATAGTATATATATTATTATTATATACGTCGGGCGTGCGTGATGGTGTTATTATTGTTATTTTTTAATCGGACTATATATATTGTAACCCGCCATGCCGTAAAGAGTTAATCGGACTAATTGGAACTCCCGCATCATCGTCGTCACCATCGTCATTATAATCATCATCACCGTCGCAGTAGCAGCAGTTGTGCAGTATTATCACGATCGTAATAATAGCTATAATATTATTGTATACATGTATATACCTATTAACACTACACGACATTTCAACTCGGCTGCGTCGTCCCACGCGATACCTCTCGCGCACCGTCATCCTCCCGGAACACCTTGGACACCTCTGCTGCCGCTGTCGCTCTACTCTAGAGTGGTTTTTTTTTTTTTATTTATTTCTCGTGTGATCGAGTTTTTCCGCGCTCGGCATATTAAATCGTAACCGTAATGATAATAATAATAATAATAATAATCATCATCCCGTCGCCACGGTCGGTCAATTAGTAATATTTGTATTGGCCTTGGCGGGTTCACCCGGTCGTCCGCCACACACGTCGACGACTGCTACTGCGGCGACGACGACGACGACGGTAATAAGAAGAAACTGACGGACGGACGGACGGGGGGGGGGGACAAAAAACCGTGTATATTATAAAATAAAAAACCGCGCTCGCGAACCGACGAGAGTGGAAAAGAGTGACGCGCCGAGTGCGTGTGGTGGTTATACGTGACTCCGCCGTGGACGTTATTAGCGGTATATAAAATAAAAAATAATAATAACATTATACAGTACGGTGTGTAGTTTCGTTTACTCATTTCACCTATTGCCAACAACCGCCGCCTCCGCCTCCGATCACTCTGCCGCCACCGTCGTCGAGTACATTATTTTATGTATATTATTAGCGGGGCGGCGAAGGGATTTATTATTATTATTATTTGTGTGCTAGACCCGCTATATAGTCGACCTGTTCTTCTGCGGAGGCGGCTTATATTATGTACACGGTGTATAATATAATATCACAGAAGTGTGTACAACGTCAGTGTTTTCGTGAAGGTTCGAACTGCCGCTAACCGTGTAATATATGGTACCTACGCGACGTGTAAAATTCTTCTGGACCGCGTGACGAGCGGAAAATTTTAATTTAAAACCTTCGTCGCCGTCAGTCACTGGTTTTTATTGGGCGATTCGGTGCGTCAACACGTGGCGATAACCGTTATTGCGCTCCGCGTGTAACGAACACCGTACAGCCTTATTATAACGGTCCGGATGAAAGGTTCAATCGTTTTTAAATTTAGACGCCATTATACAACGGCGAACGGTCGGGGCCCCGAGTTATTTTCGGTGACCGCGCGGTATTAAAATAAATAATTTACAATTTTATGTGATATTATATATATGTTATGTCAGTCCTTCGGGAGCTATGCAAAAATGTCTATAATATAGGAAACAGAACACAAAAATATAATACAAGTCACAAGAGATAATCTCTGCACAGTACCTATATAGCGTCCTTGATAACAAATCCCAAAAACAGTTTCATTGGTAACATCGTCAGTTTTCGGACGACGACGCGCCTATATCGTCGGGATCCAAGTATCCTTAACAAAGAAGTTCGGTGTGTATTTTGTACGGCAAAACCTGTAGAGCGCATACCGAATCAGCATCCATAATTTATTAACTTCCGACAATCCGCCGTAAGCAAACGATCGCAGTATATAATCGTGCTTATATATGACCTCCGTCTGTTTTAACGACGAATGACGATATAATATTTTATTTTGAATTACTATGGTATAATCGTGATATTTTTTGTCGGTCAGTCTAGGGTTTCTCTTTGTGACTCTGTTTTCTGCGCGGCATTCTCTCTCCGATCGAACAGTTTCCACGTTGTCGTCCGCGACTGGCGAGTGCATACATTTAAATTTATTATGGGGCTCTGCAGCAGTGCGACGACATTCCGGTAATTTTTAACATTCTATTTGCTAGCCCTTCCACCTCAACGGCCTGACTAATCGCATCGATTGTACTCCGATGATTATGCGCCAGGTTGAGGTAAGACGTACTTATATACTTCAGGCACCTATAGGCACATGTTTATTATAATATATCGTGTATACCCTATTTTTTCCATGTGGTATCTCAAATGAGGTGGGAACCACGATAGCATATTATTTCCAACCCAATTGCATAGTTTATTGTACAATAATTATCATAGCATTATCTATACAAAATAATTAAGCAAATACATATTATTATACATAATACTAAATACATATACGTCGTAGTGGCCAGAGCCTGCATAATTTACATATGATAAAAATAAACTAACAACAATAAGTCTATCTTCATTTAATCCACCTTTCCACGAGTTGTCACGTCATCCTCCTTGACAGACAAGATGTCATCCACCAACTTATAGAACACTCAACACTCTGTAGGATTCTTCAGCTTATTATAAAGCCATTACCCTTTTGGTCATTTCATTTCAAAGGTGGGAAAACACAGATCCACAGAGTTGATCTGGATATCGACTGCAGTCATAGGGCGCCCATTACGTCCTATCTCGGGCATTGGAACAACGTGTGTTGAGCAGTGTCTGAGCCCTAAGATATCACGGATCTGCCCATGCGATGGAGGCAGTACTGAAAACAGTCTTGACCTGTGAGTACAGCCTGAGTCATATGGAATGTTAGTAATATCTTTGGGAGTGTCCACTTTACCCATCCTCTGACGTCTGGGACTAAGGCTGCCTAGTAAAACCAGCCTTAGGTGCATCGTCCTCCAGCGCATACATTACGGATTCGGCTGACTTGCAGGAACTGTCTGAATGTGCCTCTTGAAATAAATGTTGCTGTTTAGGATTACACCACAGGTACCTTATGTGGCCTCTCAAACTGATCGGCTGTCCCTTAATATGAAAACAAATGAGAGGCACGTATATCCCCTCCTTCTTATTAGCTTGACGGCCTCGGTGGCTCGGTCTTACAGTAAGTGAGCTTCATAGGCTGGTCATCCGCATACATCGGGGTGATCCAGAACGAGGTTAACTAGAGCCTCCAGTGCCTGTCCAGGCTTGGTCAATCCGACTACCGCAAAGTCGTCTAAGAAGCCAATTAGTTGGCACATCCATCGTTAGTAGATCATAATTGTTCGTATTTCACAACGTCAGGGCGAGAACCGAGCCCAGCGGAACCCCACAGGTGACTCGCTCTCTTCCTTTGCGATTCATCAATGACTGGCCACTACAGCGAGTTGAAGGTGTTCTAAATAACAAGACTCAAGAGTGACCAGCACTCAACTGTCCTAGTTGCGGACCAGTGGTACGGAGTGAGCTGCTAGCCTGGTCACCGAATATATTTGCTAATACCTAGTAGCATAGCCAGGGGGTTTTCGGGGGGGGGATGAAACCCTCGCCATATTTCTACAAAATACGTTGTCATATGGTTCTATTTCATATTACTATTTATTAATGTATAATATAATGATAGATGACTAGTACGACGGAGAGTATAAAAGCCCCCTCACATGTTATATTTACATATAGAATTAAACACCCTCCTAAAAACAATTCTGGTTAGGTGCCTGCTATTCTATGAGGTATATGGTACATACCTAAATGATTCGTATAGGATATAAGTCAGTTACATATGGGCCTTTGCTACCGTTATTTACAAAATAACGTATTTATGTGTATGATCCTATAACAAAACAACTTTGTGTTGTACCTTTATACAAAAATATGGTTTGTAAAATCTTGGTAAAATGATTGTATTGTTCCCATAGATCGTATAGAATATCTATAATATTGTATATTATACTATGTACCACATTACACATGTACTAGATGTGGTATTATAATACATTGGTAGTCAACGGCATGGGCTCAATTATCATGCGGGTGAGGGTCAAGGTGAAGATACGATGGGGTGATAAACAAAAGTACGACGGTACCTTTTACGCGTTTGACTGTTTGGGTAGTATACATTTACCGCAGTCTCCGTGATGTAGATACCATGTATAAAACCATATCAACGATCAACCTCTAATATACGATGAACGATTGCTACATAGTACATACTATATACTAGTACTACTACTATATACGTATATTGTATACACGGTACCTATGTATTCTCCATGATGCAGTCGTCAGTCGATATATATTTCATTTTACAGTCTACATTTAAATCACAGGATTATAGGAACGTATATTCATTTAGATAGTTAGTTAGTTATAGGTTTATTATAATTTAATGATTTATTATAAATACTAGAAAGTGCAATAGGAAATTAGTAGGTACCTGAATCTTAGGTTTATTAGGTATTAAATTAAATTACGAAAGAAGATGACTTTCGTTTATCTTAATAATGATATTTGATGAAGTTATTAATCATTCCATAAACATTTTTTTGTATAAAAGTAAATTTTGTATGCATCTATATGGTAATTTTGTTTAGTGGTTATTTTTATAAACTTCAATAAAAATAAAATGTTTAATTGTCTTGAAAGTTATGTCGTAATATTTTTTTGAAATAATTAAATATCTCGACCTTCGTTCAAATTGATCGAAAAGGTGACAATAACACGGTAAACCGTACCTATCATGTAATAGTATAAATATTCGTGTATGATATTAATGATATTATATAATACGATCCTGTTCTCGTCATGACAAAATTAGGTACTAATGTACTATCAAGGTTATATAATATTATATTTATATCGATAACGCTGCTGATCTAATTTTTGGAACGGATTATTTAGGTACTCCAAAAATACTACTTCGTTATCGTCTTCATTATTGCGTTACGATGTATCGTCTACGGATGTTCGTGGGTGGTGGCGTGGTGAGGCCAATATTATATACGTATATAGTTTTTAATCACTATGGCACGAGGAGGGACGGTTTTCAGATATCTAATGAGCTCTTATGTTAATTTTGTGCTCGAAGAGTTTGCGTTTGAGTAAGGGAAAATAAAGTAGATTATGTTTCGGGCTGGGGCAGATAATTTTATTGGAGAATGAATATATACAGTTATAAAGGGTGGATGGTAAACATTTCCGAGGGGAGCTCAAATAAAAATAACAACGTTAGTTTTAAAATTTTAAATTATTCGTATTGACCTTTATTTAGCGAAAAAACTCGGCGTGCTATGCATGACGTGCGTTTGAATTCAATTCTAAGTACATCTGCACAGTAGTATAAAGTATTAATGTATAATATATTATAATATATTAATACGTAGGTAGTAGGTACTAGGTACACGCATAGGCACAGTCGTATAATATACTATATAGCATATAATACAATACAATATATAGATCCTATATTGGAATAAAACCGGATTTTTAACGACAGTTATTATAATGAAATAATAGAATTTAAACTTATTTACATAATTACATTTTTTAACGTATTAATTCGATCCGATATAATACACCTACGTATAGATAGATATTAATAAACCTGTACACCGTAATAAGTCGATGTCGAAGTAAATTGGATTTATTCAGTCAGTTGATACTTTACTTGATAGTTAATATACATAATATTATATAGTGTTACAGTAGCAATGTAGCATATATTGTATAACATTATGCATTTGTACATCTACATATGTCAGAATGAAACTTGTAGCTTTTGATTTATATAATTTTTAGGTAAGGAATAAGTCGTCTAAATCACTTATAAACTATATATAGGTACGTTTAAACTCGGTGTGACAATTAAGTGTACATTTCACTTTCGCTTTAATTTAGCTGCAGGTTTATATATTGAGCTAATTGAAATAACGATGTCGGTATGTTTGTCCGGGCACATAGGTATATTAATTATATCACTTTTTAACATGTTACTTCCGTTACACAGTTATTTCAGTATAATAGTCACCTACAATTTTCCTTTGTGGTCCTTTATAGTCGCTATGTAATATTCTGAACAATACTAAATAATAGTCATCCCCATAGGAAATTATTTATACGAATTTATTCATAAAGAATACTATTCAGTAATCAGAGTGATAAAATAAGTGCAATATATTATTGACATAATATAACACGATATACTAGGAAGATATTTACGTGTTACAATATTATTAGATATTAATACCTATTACTTTTTATAGCACCACGAGTGCTAGCGAAACAGTTTAGGTAAATAACTCATCTAAAATACCATAATTTCAAATATATATCGAGAGTTTCATAATTTTGGACATACATAATATTATATGAAATATGCATATCATAATAATATATTGTACAGTAGATAATTGTGTAATAATAATATTACTGCAGTTACCTACTTCATATTTATATCATAATATATTAAAGATATATTTTGTGATATTTATATAGGTATACAATAGTAGGTTAATAGTTAGATTATTAGTACCTATATTTGTTAATGTGCAGTCGAAGTTCGTTTTATATTACACAATGCGTACAATGTATACGAACGTCATCGTATAATATTATATACGTTTGGAAATTGATTTAGACCCAAAATATATCGTTTACTCTGGCAAGAGGGAGAGTTGTCAATTTGTGGACCCCATTCAGAGACAATATGACCCAATGTCAACATAGGTGACGCGGTCATCAAGCTAATTTTCCCCATATGTGTGTGTGTGTGTGTGTGTGTACCTTGCAGATCTACCTTACACACAATAACGACGTATATTATAGCTCGGGAACGCGTGCAGCCCTTCAAAATCCATAACTGGCGGCTGTATAATTTAGCCCCGCAGGCGTTATATATATAGGCACATGTTTGCTCGAACCGTTCTTTGTTTTGTAACCTATCCGAATCGTGAAACTAATAACGGACGTGTGTGTGTGTGTGTGCGCAGTCGATCACAAAGGGGTAGTTTTTACACGCTGATTGCCGGACTACTGCTATATTACATTATTGTTCAATGCAAATGGATCGTTTTCGCCGGAGCGGCTCCTGCGGCTCGGCACTGTTCCTCCACCGGAGGTCTCAAAATACGTGTGAGGACAAAAACAGATTTTTTACTCCCCCCCCCCCCTCGATAACGAGAGCGTTCGCAGTTTTTAATGCATCGTAAATGCTCGGTGTTTAGTAGTTTCGAAGTAGTGTGTGGGAGGGAGAGGGTGGCGTCACGTTGTCCAAACTCGTCTGAGAGCTTTTTTTAAACGTCCGCGGTGCTGGTGACAGTACTTGTGACGCCATCTAGCCGATCGAGTGCGCGTAACCAGAATCGCCCTCTGGTCCGTCCCGCCGACGGGATCTCTTCTCATTCTCGTCACGGGCGGCACTAGATAGCGCCGAGTGTATGGGATTGTGGGTATTGCCGTACACCCTTGATGTTTGAAAGTTTACAAGTCCGTGTTTATAAGTTTACGCGAAAAAATACAATTTTTCATTACACATTTACATCGCACTCACTACGTAGTATTGGATAAGCACGGAAATATAATTTCTTGTTTATGACGAAAACATTATATAGCCAATATATAATATTATTTTCTCCACAACACATCGGAAACACTGACGACGGGTTGCATGAACAATAACTTAAACATTTAATGAATCAATTATAGTAATGGTCCTTTATTTAAACGTGATTTAGTGGCCCACGGTTGTTCCATTAAATTTTAGCGAGACATTAAATTAATACAATTTTTAACCCGGTATATGTCTGTAAAAGATAATACCGAAGACGAGCGTTAAAAATGAAAATCTAATGTTAGAATGATCGTTCAATCTGTTGCTGGTACATGATAATATATTCCATAATTTATTTATGTT